GTGTGTGTGTGTGTGTGTGTGTGTGTGTGTGTGTGTGTGTGTGTGTGTGAATTTGTGCGATGAGTTTGGACTGCTGACTGATTCCATTCCAGTGTGTAGATGTGACATAAATCCAGGCTGTTCACGCGCCTGCAGCCTCAAAAAGGCTGTTTTGGTATTTTATCACTGAGCAGTGAAGCACCAAACACTCGCTTTTGTACTTGAAAAAAGTCATCCAGCTCATTTAAATCTGACCCCGTTATGGCACGAGAACCAGCTCTGGTAATCTATAAAATGCTGTACGTGAAGAAATACTGCAAAAATCCTGCCTAAAGGCTTAGATAGGTCTCCTTACCTCACTTTCACAGTTACACTCAAGTTCTCGTTTGAACCTGGGACTTTAAAAAAGTGTTACTTCGAAGGAATCAGGGGTGTAAAATTTGTCTATATAATTGGAATATTTGTCATCTTTCAGTGCAAGGCCTTTAAACAAAATAAATTAAGAAAAAATCCTGAAATCTGATATTTTTTTCAATCTGCTATTTTTTTCAAACACAATATTCCAAACAGTTTATGACAGGACACCACAGCAGAAAAGTTTGTAGTCTGATACATTATATTATCTGCTGTACAGTGTTTTTTTTCAGTGCATTATATTAAGTGATCTAGTCTTTCTGCTTCCAGTATTGATTTGACACATAAATATCCAGTCCGATGCGTAACATTTGACCAGTGACCTGTTTGTAATTTTCATTCATTTGCCTGAGGCTATACAGACACTAGACTCAGTTAACAGTCAAAAAGAGGGAAAACAGTCTGTGATTTGCTCATTAATATACATTTACTATGTAAGAACATGCCGACTGTTACACTGTTGCTATTAAAGTATCACTTGTACATCTATGTTGTAAATGCTTCTTCACATCCAACTTCTTGTAATTTCATGGAGTCCTCTGTTGAAGCAGATCACGCTGATCTTGGCACCGACTGCAAAAAGAAGTTTTTTTTTTTTTTTGAGTCTGACTGCACTACACATGAAGAACTAACTGCTCCTGTGCAGATCAGCCATCATGCTTCACTGAAGCCAGAAGGACGATGTCAGATGGCACCCCAATGTCTTCATATTGGACACCGTCCAGACAGTCTGGCTGCACCCATTTTTACATGGATACAAGAGTCAAGAGAAAATACAGCAGTCATATCTCCTGAACTCCAGCAGCTACA